GGGCAGGAAGCGCGATCGGAAGCGAAACGCTTTTGGTGTTGGCTGTATCTTCTGTTGAGATGCCGATGCCGATCGTGGCCCGGTACCGGCGCCGATGCCGGCATCGGCGCCGGCGCCGACATCGATGCCAGCACTGTCAGGAGCAGCGCCTTTCTTAGCACCAACGTCAACACAATCCTCGCGGGAACATGGAGGGAAAAGGGGGAGCGGGGAGGGGGCGTGAGGACGAGGGGGAGAGCCTGCAAGGAGGAGCAAGAGGGGTTGCTTTGATGGGTGCGGGGTCTATAAAACACTAAACATAGCTATTGCGCAGTATAGGATCCTATCAACGTGCACTAAAAAAGAAAAATAGTAAACAATAATGCAAAATAGAGAAAACAATAGTATGAAATAGTGAAAAATACTAAAAATATTGAAAACATGAAAAAAAATGAAACAAATAGCGAAAATACAAAAATGGCAAATTCTAAGAAAAAACACAAACCAGCTTGCTTCTCTTCCTTTCTCTCCTGACTTTCCGCAGCGGCAGACCGGCTTCACATTGCAAGTTGCACAGTGCAGCGGTTTGGCCGCTTTAGAACTTTCGTTTTTAATCGCATCCACGTTGGCTGCGGGGCCGAGGGCGCCGCACGTGGCGCAGCGAGCATCCCAGGCAGCCATTTAACGAATTCTCGAATTCGGTTGGGCGAATTCAACAAACTTGAAGCCAAAAACGGCTGCGACGAAATCGTTATCCTGTCCTCCTCTTCCTCCTCCTCCTCCTCCTCCTCCTCCTCCGCTTCCTCCTCCCATGCAAAGCGGTTGGGCCGCTGAGGAGCAGAATGGGGGGGCAGGAGGGAAGCGAACGCAAAGCTGTTGGCCCGCTGAGGGGCGAGAAAGAAACGGATGAGGGAGGTGACGGAGGGCGGGGGGGGGGGGGTCCAGAAGAGGAAGTTTTTTTTTTTTTTTTTTTTTTTTTTTTTTTTTTTTTTTTTTTTTTTTTTTTTTTTTTTTTTTTTTTTTTTTTTTTTTTTAAAAAAAAAAAATATATATATATATATATATATATATAATTATAAAAAAAAAGATTAACATACAAACAAAAGCAAAACAACAAAAAAAAAAAAAAAAAAAGAGAAGCTAAGACAACATCAGACAACCAAAAAACAAGACGAAAACAACACAAACAACATAAAACAACACATAAACAACCAAACACAACATGTTGTTTTTGTAGTGTTTTGTTGTGTGTGTGTTGTTTTTGTGTTGTCTGGCGCCCGCCCTACAAGACAACGCAACAACAACAACCAACAACGTAAACACAGCATAAAACAACACACAACAACAAACAAAAAAAAACAACATGAAAACAACACCCAGGCACCATCCAGCTAACGTCCAGCTTGCTGCCAATGGGAAGGGGGGGAGGGGGATGGTGGAGGAGGAGGGGGGGGGGGGGGGGGGGGCGGAGGGGGGGGGGAGGAGGAGGGGGGGGAGGAGGAGCGGCAAGAGGATAGAGGAGAAGGGGGGGGGGGGGGGAGGAAGAGGAAGAGAGGGAAAGGGAGAGCGAGGGGGAGGAGGAGGGGGAGGAGGAGGAGGGGAGGAGGAGGAGGGAAAGATGATAGAGGAGGAGAGGTAGGAGGAGGAGAAGGAGGAGGGGGAGGAGGAGGGGGAGGAGGGGGGGAAAGAGGATAGATGAGGAGGGGTAGGAGGAGGAGAAGGGGGAGGAAGAGGAGGAGGAGGAAGAGGAATGGGAGGAGTTTCGGAGCTTCGGATTCGGGGGCGCCGAGGCCCAGGAGTGCCAGCACCAAGTGGGCGCCGAGGCCCCAAGAGGGGCGCCGAGGAGGAAGGGGAGGAGGGGGCAGAGGGGGAGGAGGAGGAGGAGGAGGAGGAGGAGGAGGAGGAGGGGGACGAGGAAGAGGAGGAGGAGGAGGTGAACACCTCCTCCTCCCTCATCCTTCTCCTTCTTCTCCCTTGGAACACAACGTTCTGGCGTCGGTCAGACTTGTTTCAATGTCTGAATTTAAAACGTAAAGAACAACGAAAAAATAATGAAACATAGTGAAATAGTGAAAACATAATGGACAAATAGTGATAAATAGTGAAAATAGTTATAAACAAATATTGAAACATAGTGAAAATATTTAAAACATGAAAAATACATATGTTTATGTTTAGGGATTCCAAGTTCAGCTGATGATAGGACACTGTAAGCTCCTATAGATCCTATAGTGAAACGCAGGGGGGGGGGGCTATCGGGGACTACACTATCGGCATTCCTATGGAACCGATTGGGCCTCCTAACCAATCCTAACTCATCCAAACCTCTCCTAAAATAGAACCACTTACCTATACTATAACTACTTATAACTTCACACCCATCAAAGTGGGGGGGATATGGAGGAGGCAGCAGCAGGAGGACCAGGACAAGGAGGAAGACGAGGCGGAGAAGCAGCACCAACAGACCGATTTATAGCCTCAGTCCAGTATCCCCAACAACGATTTTGAGGCAGGATGGCTCCACATTTTGCTGATTTGCTTGCGTTCTTGTCGCCATCACTGTCGTCGTCATTGCTGACATCGTCCTCGTTGCCATGCTTCTTGCCCTCTCCCCCTCCCACGCATCCCTCCTGCTTTTTCTCCTCCCCCTCCTTCTCCTCCCCCGACTCATTCCTTATCCTCGTCGTGATTATTCCCCCTTTCTCTTCTTCTCCTCATTCTCGTCATCGTGCTCCTGCTGCTCTTCCCCTGGTTCTTCTCGCCCCTCGTACTCCTGGTTCTCCTCTTCACCCTCCAAGTTTTCCTCTCGCTGGAGATGTCAACATGTAGTAACTAAGGCATGGCGCCCCCCCGCCTGAGACTTCCACATGACTCAGAAATCATGCTCTCGCCTCGGCGCCGGCTAACTGCTCCTTCGGGGCAGGGGCGCCTGGACCCCTCCTGGGGCAAAAGTCGGTATTAGCAGGGTAATGTAACAGGTAGCTTGGGCCTGGCCCCGTCTGACTCCTCTCCCCACCCCCTGGGGGCCCAGTTGTGAGGATGTCCCAGGCAAACTGACTGGACTACCTCGCGCGCTGAATCTCGGAGCGAGTCCAGAGTTGCGAGGAGGTCTGAAGCGAAATTGGCCCGACCCCAGAGTTCCGAGGATGGATCAAGCGAATCTGGCCCGAGAACCTCGAGCGCATCATATCTGAGCCCGGAGTTGCGGGGACGCATCAAGCGAAATTGGCCAAACGACCTCAGGCGCGGCATGTCCGAGCCCAGAGTTGCGAAGACGTCTCAAACGAAATTGGCCAAACCACCTCAAGTCAGGAGCATCTCGGAGCCCAGAGTTGCGAGGATGTCTCAGGCGAACCGGACCGGACAACCTCGCGCGTCGCAACTTCGATCCTAGAGTTGTGAGGATGTCTCGGGCGATACGGGCCAGATCACCTCAGGCCACAACAATTCAATGCTGAGACCAGAGTTGCGAGGATGTCTCAGGCGAAATCGGCCAGACCACCTCGCGCGCGGCATCTCTGAGCTTGGAGTTGCAAGGATGTATCAGGCGGAACGGGCTGGACCAGCTTAGGTCAGAGTAAATCTGAGCCCGCGCGCGACATCTTGCAGCCCAGAGACGTCGCATGCAAAATCCGCCGGACCACTTCGCACGCGGTCTCTCGGAGCCAAGAGTTGCGAGGACGTGTTAGGCGAGTTTGGCTGGACCACCTCGCGCCTGGCAACTCGGATCCCAGAATTGCGGGCATGCCCCGGGCGACCTGGGCCGGACCAACTCAGGTCGGGGCATATCTAGGCCAAGAGTTGCGAGGATGTCCAGGGCGAATCAGACCAACTCAGATCAGAGCATTTCCGATCCCAGAGGTGCAAGGATGCCTCTGGCGAAAATGGGCCAGACCACCTCGCGACAGGAATATAGGAGCCGAGAGTTGTGAGGATGTCTCAAGCGAAATGGGCCAGACCACATCAAGCCAGGACATATATGAGCCCAGAGGTGCGAGGATCCTCAGGCGAGCCTGGCCGCACCTCTTCACGCGCGGCATCTAGGAGCCCAGAGTTGCGAAGATGTCTCACGCTAAATTGAGCAGACCACCTCGCGCGCGGCATCTCGCAGAGTTGGGAGGACATCTCAGGCGAGAGTGTCTGAAGTAGAATTGTCCAGATCACCTCGCGCGCGGCATGTCTGAGCCTAAAACGTGAGGATGTCTAAGGCGAAGCGGGCTGGACCTCCTCAGGTTAGGGGCATATCTGAGCCCAGAATTGCGAAGATGGCGAAACGGACCGGACCACTTCGCGCGTGGCATCTTGGATTCCAGAGTTGCGAGGATGTATCAGGCGAAATGGGCCAGGCCATCTTGCCCCGGCAACTCGGAGCCCAGAGTTGCGACGATCTCTCAACGCAATGTAATGCAGTGCCATGGGAAGTGACGCAACAGAAATGCAATGCCATGCGTTGCAATGCAATGCCATGCAATGCAACGCAAAGGCACTCCATGCAATGGGATGAAACAGTGGCTTCCGCTGCGTGGGATGCGGGATAGAGATAGAGAGGGAAAGGAAGAGCACGGAGGAGGAGGTGTAGTTGTTTTTCTAGAGCTCCCCATGCAACTTGGCATGAACCACTGTGCAACACCAGTAGCAGGAGGCAGGGCTGGCAACAGGATCAAGCAAACGAAGCGCATTTAGCAGGCCAGAAGCTCACTTAGCAGGAAGAGGACGCTTTCGGCGACGACGGCGGCGACGACGACCGACGACGACGGCCGCCGAAGGCCGCCGAGGCAGAGGAGGAGGAGGAGGAGGAGGAGGAGGAGGAGGAGGGGGGGGAGAAGGAGGAGGAGGAGGAGGAGAGGGAGGAGGAGGTGACAAGGAAGAGGGGGGGAGGAGGAGGAGGAGGAGGAGGAGGAGGATGAGGAGAAGGAGGAAGTGGTAGGACGTGACAAGAGGAAGGATGGGGAGGAGGACAGGAGGAGGAAGTGGAGGAGGAGGAGGAGGACGAGGAGGATAACGAGAAGAAAACAGGACCAGCAGCAGGAGGCGGAGCTGGCAACAGGATCAAGCACATCGGGAACCCACTTAGCAGAACAGAAGCCCACTTAGCAGGAACACGACTTAAGAGGACCCCCAAGATGACTCGGGGATGGGCCGAGGGCCCTCTAGACCGCCACAGAAGCCCCCGAGACAACCCAGAAAGGCTCCAGGACGGCAATAAAACGGTCCCGACTCAATGAAGGAAATGCTTGCGTGTCTTCAGGTGCCTTCCCCCTCGCCGCGGCTGGACACAACTCGAAGGAACATTGTGCTCTGACCCTGAGCCGAAGACCAGATGCATACCTTGATGGACCTCCGGAGGTCGGAGGACACTGCCCTTGTGAAAGCGGCCACTCGGGACCGTTGGGGCTCTGTGGGGCCCTCCGTGGGCCGTCTTGGGATTCGCTCGGGCCATCTGGAATCCTCCTTGGGCAAATTTGCGGCCAATTTCGGCACACCTTCTCGTTGTGAAGAAACCGGCATCGCTCTCCCGCGACTTCCAAAAGCTGTGGTACACGGTGCCTCGAGGGAAAAAAGAAGGGGTCGGCGGATGTGGCGTAAGTCTATAGAATCAAAACATCGTCCCCTGACTATGTTTTGACTAGTTTTGAATATTCCCCCTGTCGACAGACACGCCCGACTTGATATTTGGGGCCTCTTTGGGCCCTCCATTGGCCATGGGAGTTTCTTCGGAACCTGTCGGCGGCCTCGGGGCTCCTGTGGGGGGCGGGAAGCTCGAAATTCGAGCTCGGGTTCCCCCTCTCGGGCCGCTCTTGGGTCTCTCTTGGGCTGTCTCGCGAACTTCTTGAGCCCTCTTACAGCCCTCATAAGCTGACTTGGGGCTGCCTTGAGGACCTCTCGGGCCGTCTTGGGGGTCTCTTGGGTTGTCGTAGGCATCGTTCACTTCAGGAACGAATCTGACCAACAAAAAAAGATTGCCTGAACGAGAGACCATATGTTTGCTTCTCGGGGTCCTCTTGGAGGTCCCCTTGGGCAAGCATCGTGCTGCGAGTCCGCCACATGCTTGTGTAGCAGGTACGCCGCGCCCGAGCCCCATTTCAGGGGTGTCTCCTCGCCCAAGCGCCCGGAGACATGCTGAGACACTGAGTGGCCAGTATCAGACGCCAGGCGAAGGCTGGCAAACCCGTGGCTGCTAAAATAAGCTGAATTGCCCTCTTTGGCTGAATTCCCCTACAACCGTAGGCCATCTCGCTCGAAGGCCTTGACATCTTCGAAAGGGATACTGTTGCGTCGCAGGTTGATCTCTTTCAACGCGGTGTTGGCCTTCGAGGCCTCCGCCAAGGCCTTGGCGCCCTCGGCGCCGATATGGTTGGAGCACAGGTCGATCTTTTTCAACGCGGTGTTGGCCTTCAAGACCTCCGCCAAGGCCTTGGCGCCCTCGTCGCCGATATCGTTGAGGCTCAGTTCGATCCTCTGCAACGCGGTGTTGGCCTTCAAGGCCTCCGCCAAGGCCTTGGCGCCCTCGGCGCCGATATGGTTGGAGCACAGGTCGATCCTCTGCAACGTGGGGTTGGCCTTCAAGGCCTCCGCCAAGGCCTTGGCGCCCTCGTCGCCGATATGGTTGACCCCCAGTTCGATCTCTTTCAACGCGGTGTTGGCCTTCAAGGCCTCCGCCAAGGCCTTGGCGCCCTCGGCGCCGATATGGTTGGCGCTCAGTTCGATCTCTTTCAACGCGGTGTTGGCCTTCAAGGCCTCCGCCAAGGCCTTGGCGCCCTCGGCGCCGATATCGTTGAGGCTCAGTTCGATCCTCTGCAACGCGGTGTTGGCCTTCAAGGCCTCCGCCAAGGCCTTGGCGCCCTCGGCGCCGATATGGTTTTCGCTCAGTTCGATCCTCTGCAACGCGGTGTTGGCCTTCAAGGCCTCCGCCAAGGCCTTGGCGCCCTCGTCGCCGATATCGTTGAGGCTCAGTTCGATCCTCTGCAACGCGGTGTTGGCCTTCAAGGCCTCCGCCAAGGCCTTGGCGCCCTCGGCGCCGATATGGTTTTCGCTCAGTTCGATCCTCTGCAACGCGGTGTTGGCCTTCAAGGCCTCCGCCAAGGCCTTGGCGCCCTCGTCGCCGATATGGTTTTTGCTCAGTTTGATCCTCTGCAACGCGGTGTTGGCCTTCAAGGCCTCCGCCAAGGCCTTGGCGTTGTCATCGCCCAGACTGTTGTCATCCAGCCTCAGTAACTCCAGGCGCCCTGCGTGGCCCCTCAGAACGTCGAGGAAGTAGACGAAGCCGTGCTCCCCAAGTGACCTCCCGCAGCTGAATCTGTGCAGGAACAGGTTTTCGGCGTTGCCGTCGAGGAGCTCCATGGCGGCGTGGAGCAGGGGAAGGCTTTCCCTGGTCGCCTGCACACGTCTCACCGTGGGGTCTCGGAGGCCATGGTCCTTCAACGCGAAGGCGAGGAGCCATCCGCCCTCCTCCATAAGGGGCTTCAAGAAGCGCTGCACCTTGCTGGCGTTCCCCTTGCTCGCGGCGAAGAACAGCTCCTCCACGATCCACGGCAGCACCATCTTGCTGAGGCAGCGTCGCGCACTCCAGGCGAAGAGCAGCTGCAGCAGCGGCATGAGCACAGCCGAGGCAAGGACCAACTGGCTTCCGCCCTCGAAGATCATGAAGACGACGGCGGCGGCGCCTTGGGGCAGGCTCTCGAAGAGGAGGGAGCGCTGCTTCTCCTTGGTTGTCTGTTTGTACAGGAGCTGGACGGCCTTTCCCGGGTACTCGGGGAAAGCGAGGAGGCCCGCAGCTGCCGCCTCGTGCTCAACCGAGGCAAATGTGACGCCAAGGTAGGTCTCCGCGAGCTCTGCTGCGCCCACCGTGTCTTGGAGGATCCGGAAGTTCAGCACCGCTAGGTAGGCGATGCTTGCCACCCCCACCAGCCTCACGATGCGGTGCTCCGCCTGAAGGCAGAGCCCTCCGAATTGGATGTCCTTGAAAGTGTCAAAGGCATCCGAGAGGAAGGGTGCCACCGCGGCCACCATCGCCATGGTGAAGGCGGACGGGGCGAACTTCCCGGGCTCGAGGCAAAGCGCCTGCAGCAGGCACCAGAGGTTGCCCAGCGAGAGCATGGTGAAGTAGCCCTCCCATGGCAGCCCCGTCTTCTCCGAGAGGAGGCCCGCATTCGAGCACCAGAGCACCAGGCTGGTGCTCAGGGCGAAGTCCGCCAGCCCCCTTGTGGGGCCACCAGGCTGTAGGCGCGGGCTCGCAGTTTCCAGTACCAGTTGTAGCTTGTAGTTTCCAGTGTTACAGTTCTGCTTCTTGCTGGTTACTGTAACTAGTTGATTGACCGCGCGAGGGGGGGGAGGCCCAAACAGGATTTTTAGCACCCCCTGGGCGCGTTGTCTGAATTGCTGGGGGGGCTCGAAATCGACACCCCTCACGCAGATCCGCGGGGTCAGGGTCCAAAAACACATGGGATTTGCCACATTTCTGAAATTCGGTGCCACCCCTCACGCAGATCCGCGGGGTCAGGGTCCAAAAACACAAGGGATTTGCCACATTTCTGAAATTCGGTGCCACCCCTCACGCAGATCCGCGGGGTCAGGGTCCAAAAACACAGGGATTTGCCACATTTCTGAAATTCGGTGCCACCCCTCACGCACATCCATCGCAAGGCGTGGTAACCCAAACTGCGAGTACTCCCTCGGCCCTTTAATCCCAAGGTGTGGTAACCAAGCTCGTAAACCATACACGTCTTACCAATCGCCCTGTGTGGTAACCCCTCTTGTGATCAGTTGGTTTTGCCGATTGCGAATCGGCCTCGCATGATGTTCCGATACTGCTGCGCGACAGCGCCAAAGCCTCATCACTCAGCTCTTCCATGGCCCATTCTCCGAGAGAGGGGGCTGGCGGCAGGGGGCGAAACCCTTACGGATAGAGAAGGAAGGTCGCCCCGGTGGCGACCTGCATCCGGAGCGCCGGCGAATTCTTCACTCTCCACAGCAGGTGGTGCACGCGGCCCGCCCTGCTGGCCTGCTCCTCGTAGCTGTGCATCTCATAGCTCTCCGTAGCCGGGTCGTCCGGCCGGCTCCGCAGGCGCCAGAGGAGGTACTGCGCCGCCGAGGACTTCTGCGCGATCTCGAGCTCATACATGTCGCAACTCATTCCAACCCTAACCCAATCACATCTCCGCTTCTGGTACTTGCCCGGGGGAGCCACCTCCGCGCTGCCGCCGTCGACCTCCGCGCCGCCGCCCTCGCCGCCCGCCGCGGCCTCACCGCCGCCCTCCTCGGCGCCCACTCGGTTGTAGGCGCCGCGGCGTCCCGCCTCGCGCCCCTTCAGGAGCATGGCAAGCGTCCCGAGGGCGCAGACCACGGCCGTCTCGAGGAGCATGGCGGACCCCCAGAACTGCAGGCGCTGCGCCTGCTCGCCGCGCGGGAGCTTGCGCACGTTGCGCGGGAGGAAGTGCGCCGGCGGCCCGACGAGGGGGTGGACGTGCGCGCCCTGGAAGAGGTTCTGCACGGCGAAGAAATTCGGGATGGCCATCTCGCCCGAAGAAACTGCTTTGAAAAGCGCGGAAGAGAGGGAGGGGGTCTTCAAGATACTGGCGAGCTGGAGCTGAAATCGGCGAAAAAGCACTCTTCCAAGGCAGAACGACTCCTGGGCAAATGGGTTTTCGAAGCGCCAAGCCGGGGCCTGTAGAGCAGCTTCGACAGAAGGCTTGCAGGGCAATGGCTCGCGGCAGGTGCGCTTTTCACTCACGCCCGTTGTCGGAAGAGGCGGTCAGCCCAGCCGCGGCTGGCATTATCTGGAGCTGGGAAGGGGCGGGGGGCACTCGCACACAGACACACAGACGCACAGACACACAGACACACAGACACACAGACACACAGACACACAGACACACAGACAGACAGGCACACAGACACACAGACACGCAGACACACGGACACACAGACACACAGACACACAGACAGACAGGCACACAGACACACAGACACACACGCACGCACGCACGCGACGCACGCACGCACGCACGCACGCACGCACGCACAGACGCACGCACGCACGCACGCACGCACGCCACGCACGCCACGCACGCCACGCACGCCACGCACACCACGCACGCACGCACGCACGCACGCACGCACATCACGCATACGCAAATACGCACATACACACATGTGCACATATGCACATACACACATATGCAGACACACACGCATACACACCTACACACATACGCGCACACATGCATACAGCATACACACATACACATACACAGATAAAGAGAGAGAGAGAGAGTTCGACAACGCATCACGGCGCACCCTTCTGTGACATTGCCTGGCCATGCAGGGCTGGGAACGGCGAAGGTCACCGCCTAGCAGCCCTAGGACTGAACTGCTGGGATTACCCTTGTTTTCGTACCCCCGAGAGGGCCCTGGGCATTTCCTCCCGGCGAGGGGCTGCAGGGGCCCGAAGGCACTTTCGGGATCGGAGGTTCCCCTGCAGACTTGTGAAGGAGTTCTGTCTACTGCTAGTGGCTGGGGCAGGGATCGAACCCCTGCACCCTTTCCCACTCCAGCCTTCGGATCTGAAGAAGCGGGTGATACCACTACAGCACTACGGCCATCGAGAGAGAGAGAGAGAGAGAGCGAGAGAGACACTCAGAGACACACACAGACACAGACACAGACAAAAACAACTTCGGCTGTGACGCGCGCGTGCTTGCGGAGCTGCCGACTCTGGTCCGTTCCTAAACCGAACTCATCGTGGCAGCAACATTGGCCAGCGGACCTGTAAGTACTTTGGCCCGATATGCATGCAGTAACATATATGGTTGAGACACCCCACTAAGAGCCCCTTGACATATAGTCGGTAAAAAGTCGATGGCCTGGTAAGCGACAGTCATAGCTTAGCATGTCGGGCCCGTTTACACTCGGGGCCGCCGAAAAGGGGGGGTAGTAAATCTACGGCTTATCATTTTCCTGAGTTTTCCTTACTACACTACACCACATGCGGCCTCGACGATCGCGTGTGGTCTCAGGCACAATCCAAACCACAAGCCTCGATCACGCCCCGAGGCTTCCTCCTGGAATCACCGTCACTATCAGGGCTGTGGGTGGCCTCTCTCAGTGGAGATTCGCCCAATCCTTGTCACCCATCCTGAGAGGGAGTCTAAGAGGGGAGGGCAGGGGGAGGAGATGGGAGGGGGGGGGTGGAGGAGGATGGCGGAGGAAGGGGGGGGAGGAGGGCGAGGCGGAAATGGGGGTGGGGGAGGAGGGAGGAGGAGAGGAGCCGCCGCATGACCAGGAAACGGACGTGCAGCAGGAGTAGGCGGGGAGAGGGAGGGGGGGGAGGGGATGGATTGGGGGCCAGGCGGGAGGGAAGGACGGGAGTGAAGGGGCCCACGGACACACAAATAGATAGACACGAATCCCAGGATCCCATATTTTCACTTTTCACATATTTTCATGATTTTCATATCCCCCCACTTCCCATGTGATCCCATATTCCCCGGGGGATCGACGATTATTTGTGTCTGTGTTTTTCCCCTCCTGGGGGAACAAAACTGGAAGGACAAACGTGGGGGGCGGGCCGGGCGTTTCGCCTGAGACTTCCTCACAATTTCTGACTCTGAAGCTCAGGAAGTGACAACAGCTTCGCAGATGGAGGGCGGGTCGCTTTCAAAATGCGCCTCTCGCTATAGCGCCGCGCACATTCGTTTTCCAAGAGCTTCACGGATTGAGGGCGGGTCGTTTTCAAAATGGGGCTCTTGCCTTAGCGCCGCGCACATTCGTTTTCGACATTTGCAACGAGTTTCACGAATTGAGCGCGGTTCCTTTTCAACATGTGGCTCTCGCCTGAGCGCCGCGCACATTCGTTTTACTTTCACGGATTCCCATGATCAACGTACCAAAAATTGTGTTTTGGAAGGACTCAGGATTATGCGGGTGCAACAGATATATTGATTCGCGGCGTTGAACTCTAAAAACTGGCGTTATGGCACGATTCCGGAACACCAAAACGCAGCAATCAGGTTGATACGTGGCGTTGAACTCCCGAGAACAATGTTTTAGCATGCTTCAGGATCTTCAAACGGTTGTCTTCCAACGAGGCAATTCCCTCAATGGAAATGAACCGCTGTAGGGGCATTTGAAGAGGGAGTTTGGTGGGAGGGTGAATTCCAACATCGTTGATGACTCTTGGGTTTACATTCGTCCTCCTCCTCCTCCTCCTCCTCATCCTCCCTCCCCCTCCTCTCCGGTGCATCTGATGTGGCCTGGAGACAGTACGGGCACGGTCACCTGGAATGGTGCACCGAAAAGAGCGAGGGGGGAGGAGGGCGTGCTGCAGGCGTCAGGATCCATGATCTAGACATCTTCATGCGGCAGGATCGAGTCGTGACGACTTCGGCGATGGCTTCTGACACTGCGTGGATCGTTCAATCTCAGAAGAGCGCCAAACAGTCCACCACTACCAGCCCTGGCCAGGCACATCCTGGGCCCTGGCACATCCTGGGCCCTGGACTGGTGTACAGGCCCTCCTGGCCTAGGCGTGGAGGTCTATACACCAGTCCAGGGCCCAGGATGGCCCTGGCCAGGGCTGGTGGTGGTCTATTGCTGGCGTCCCTCCGAAACTCAGGGAGACGTAAGACACGGGTTCGGGGGACTCGGGTTGGCTTGACGGGGCCATCATGAAAATGACGGGATCCATTCTGAAACTTGACGTGACCTCCCGCTGCAACCATCCCGCGAACCCTGGACCGTCGGTAGGTTCGCGCAGCGTCGACGCGCGCCAAGGTTTTTGACACCGCGTCGATAGTTCAACCTTGAACCGATCGCGGCCCCGATCGCTCAAGGTTGATCGGGCCTTGGTAGAACCGGGTTTAGTGGAACCGGGTTTAGTGATCTGTACCGGGGGCACCCCCCCGTCCCATTTCCACCAACCGGAACTGCCGTCACCCGAACAAACACAAGCCATGGCAAACCTGGCTTAGTGCTTCTGGCCAACTCAAAGGTTCCGGGGCCCCACCACTAACCGGGTCCCCTTACCCGGGGTCCGTCTGGGGGATCGACTACATAATTGATTTACCCCAAAATTGATTTCCACGACGATTCTTCAACACAAATACGTCAACCATTCGTAGATGTGCGAAAGCTCTACGAATGGCCCGTGGATATTCGACAAGCCAAATCAGTTCTGGGGCAAATCAATTCTGTCGTCGATCCCCTACTCGAGTCTTGGCCATACCCGAGTTCACCAGCCTGTAACATATACCTATCCCTATGCTGGGCACCTCCTCATCACGATGCCAATCTTAGGGATTCCCTTATTTTTTGAGGGCGAATCCCTAAGATTGTCATCGCCTTTTGCCGTGTGAATCTCAGGGATAGGGATACGTTCGAGGCTGGTAACGAATTGAACCCCGTCGGGTCCAGTGGCGTCACCGAGCCCCTCGGTGCCTCCGCGCCGCAGCATTCGACCTCGAGAACGCCTCCGCCGGCGTCGCCGGCGCGCCGGCGCCGCGCGGACCTGCCGCACTCGAGCCTTACTGAAGGGGCCCAGGGACGCACAGATAAATACACACAAATCACAGGATTCCCCATATTTCCGTATATTTGTTTGACTTTTGCCTTACCCCCCCCCCACTTCCCAGATTTTCTACAATTCCTGGGGGATATAGGATTAATTGTGTCTGTGTGCTTTTTCCCCTCCTGACTTACGTTTCCCCGAAAAGCCTTGAAGGACGCCCGAAATGGGTACCGAAAAAATGGGTACAATGCCCAACAACAAATGTTGTCCCAAACCAACAGCGGCCGCTGTTGGGCAGGCGGCCTCCTGTCTCGAATGGACACAGGCCGCGGCGGCGTGGACAGCGAGCCCTGTTCAAAAGGAACAAGATCCGCTGTTGGGCATAGTACCCACTCTTTCAGTACCCATTTCGGGCGTCCAGATTGAAGCATCGGAAGCTTTTCGATCGCCAGGTCGTTACGTATCGGCCGGCTCTGGGCCACCGGCGGCGCTTCCGATTGTGGACGCCCGCGGCGGGGTCGCCGCCCCGCCGGCGCGGCGCACGCCTACAATGCATCGACGTGCGGATCCTTGTTATCTCTCCCCCTCCCCCCTCTCGGCATCCTCTTGCCGTCATTATTCGCCCTCCCCTCCGCGCTAGCTCTCCCCTCCCTGGAGAGCAGAACGTTCCACCCCCAGAGTGAGCACCCCGGCAAGCGAAGCCGTTTGGGAAACGCAGCCAAGGGAATCGAACCGAGCAGGGCTGTTTCGCAAGCGCCCAGCGCCGTTTAGCAAGCGTCAATTATCGGGGTCGGATGGTTTTTCCTCCCTTGACTTCCGGCCTTAATTATATCCACCGAACTCGGCACGTGTACCACCTAGTCCGCCGACCCCTTGGGTCATCGGCGTGTGAGATGCCCCCCCCTCCCCAAACCCCTCCCCCGGGAACCCGGTCCGGTCGATTTGGAGGGGGGGGGGCCCACTACGAGCGACTCACGACGCTCTTCCGGGCCCAAAAGGGCCCAAATACGGGCCAAGAAGGCCCCAAGAGGCCTCCCAGACGTTCCAAGAGGCCCCCAGACGCCCCAGGAGACCGCGTAGACGCCCTCAGAAGCGCCCACGAGGCCCCAAGAGGTTTCCAAGACGCCCCACGAGGGCTCCAAGACGCCCGAAGAGACCTCCAAGACGCCCCAAGAGACCTCCAAGAGGCCTCCGAGGAGCGCCCCAAGACGCCAAAATCGTTGATTGCCATTTGTTTGTTTCCGATGTTTTCGTTATTTTCGCCTTTTCGGCCTTCCGACGCTCCAAGATAGCCCAAGAAGCTCCCAAGACTGCTCCAAGACGGCACAAGAGGCCTCCACGACGCCCCCAA